AAGGAATAAGTGCGCTGAAAACACAACAACAATTTAACGTAAAAGCACTCTTTTATTATTATTGGGGGTGACCCCGGCGCAGTGGTCCATACCTCTCACGCCAAAGTCACGAGTTCAAATCTCACCCCCAGACAAGACACGAATGACGCAAGAGTGTCAAAGTGACTATAATAATAATAATAATAATAATAATAATAATAATAATACCCTGTGGGAAATGTTTATTTTTTGTATGGGAGACATTATTGCCCTCAATTTTTTTTTCCTTCAGGCGATGACGTCACCGTGCAAGAGTTAATTAGTGTTTTCATTGTCAGTCAAGTTGGACACCCTAAAACCAACAATCAATACGAAACTAACGATTTCAATTTGGCTCACTACTTGACTAGCCTATTGGTCCCAATCAAACGATTAACGTATCCCATTCTAGTCGTAATTCTAGTACTACGAAATGTTTGTTTTGATTCGCTATGAAAGTTTGACAGATAAAATGAGGGGTTCGTGGTTTTTCCTATGTTTCGAGGGGTGAATCGATTAGTTTGAGACCGAAGAGAGTACCAGAGCTGAGCCAAAAAGTTGAGCACGTTGTTTCGGGACCTTCTAGTCTTAGAGTTACCTCTATGCTAAAACCATCTAAAACCCCACACGCGACACTCGTGTCTTTATGCGAAAACAGCGCACTATGTCCGACATTGTGTTTAATGTACAGAACGAGAGTAAAATCGATTGTCGCGTGTGGAATTTTTCGGTTTTCAACTGAAACGATACCCTAATAAAAAATACCATACCCGAACGATAATCCAAATGATAGAACTATTCCACAAATGCTTGGATGATACCCTGAACACGTCGTTAAGCAAAATAACCATACACATTTTATTTGGGTAATATATATTATATAATACTCATTTTGAACGAAACGTTAATGGCGGTACACAGCAAAAAAAGTTATTGAATATTACATCGAAACTGCTGCAACCAGGTCAATCCATCGGTTGTGTAATATCACATTTTACGATGTACATCGATTCTGCGAACAAAATTACATCCATTGATGTAATTTTGTATCTGCTTTTTGCTATCACATCATTATTTCATACATCAGCTTGAATTACGTTGATTGATATTACATTTTTTTTTTTGTGTAATGCGCATCGCGTATACAAAACGAGAGTGAAATCGGTTGTCACGTGTGGGATTTTCAACTACACAGCAAAAAAATTTTTTATTTAATATTGATCAACGTAATTCAAGCTGATGTATGAAATAATGATGTAATAGCAAAAAGCAGATACAATATTACATCAATAGATGTAATTTTGTTCGCAAAATCGATGTGCATCGTACAACGTAATATTACACCACCGGTGGAATGACCTCTGTGCAGCTGTTTGGATGTAATATTCAACAACTTTTTTTACTGTGTAGGTTTTCAATTAAACGACAATATTAATTCCAAGGCAAATGAAGAAAACCATCTGGCCACCCTGCATGAATATGGTTATGTTGTTCTCAGTTTTAAAGCAAAGCTCTATACATTGCTGTTGCTTCACTATATACTAAAATTGTTCAGAGTGTAGATATCAGATGAACGTTTTGTTACAAACAACTGATGTTGACCTGTCAATGACTCGCGTTATTTGCTGAACCGCAAAAAAGAAAACAACAGTTACTTTGCCTCATACTGCTCTTGCCTTGCCGCAGTTAAAAGTTAGCGTCTAGCGTGGCGTAATTGAATTTTGTTTAATCCGTGTATAATCTGTCGTTTTGTGAACATGAAGTACTGTGTGATCCAGTTTAAAGATGGATTGAAAAAAGTAGTGCCGATGAGTTGGATATACTGTGAAAACGTGAAAATAAATAAAAAATATCCGACATATTTTAACACGGATATGACGAAAAAGGCTCCGGAGAATCCGGCCATGTTGAAAACATACAAGGAGGGTGATCGTGAGAAGTGTAATTGTTTGCATATAGTTTATGTTCTTAACATTGCAGGTATGTTTTGGTAGCAAGTACATCTGGTTATGTAAATAATTTAATTTACATATTTAATTATCATAGATATTGCCTGTTTCTTTAGAAATTCCCGAAATAAAAGCTACACTGATAAAATTCTACACATTTTTATTGACGAATTTCCATGCGAAATTCCACATGATTTTCATGTGGCCACACATAAACAGAATTCACTCGGAAGTACACGTGAAATTTATGAGTCAACTCAATAGTATGTTTGGTCACACATGGTTTTTATGTGTACACATATTAAGTATTAGAAATACTCAGAGAGAGGGATGGGCGGAGAAAATAAGGTACAATTCGTCAGCAGGGTTTTGTATGTATTTTATCTTGCAACCCTTGCTAGAAGCTAGTATTTCACATAAATTTTCTTTTTGATTCGCAGCAGATTTAGGATCTGATCGATTGCGATTTGTCGGAATACCGTGATCACCTGGGTGCAGATCGGGTAATGCACAATGAAGAATGACCCAGATTTTGGTGCACCGCTGGCGTCAACTGAGTCTTTTGATTCACGGTACCATTTATGAGCCGGTTCGTGTTGCATACCCGCATAAACGCGAACCATAAATTGACCTTACCTAAAATGGTTAAAAATTGTTTATAATCCTTGCTAAACTTTAACTGAAATGGTTATGGAACTTTACATGAACGTTTAATGATAAAGTTTCAACCTTATGTATTATGGTTTTTTGGAACTGGACCTTACAAATAATGGGTTGTTAAGAACCATTACCATTCCAAATTCTTGTTTTCTCCATACATTTTCAGAAAGAGAACTATATAAGAACGTTTTTACTTATGATTTGAGAACATTAATGGTAATGGTTATGGTAGTCAGTAAGGTCCATTAATGGTTTTGTATTATCGCTCAACTTTACGTGGAATATATCGTGAATTGGTAATCAGTAAATTACAGGCAACCAATTCGCGATATATTCCACATAAAGTTGATAGATGTTACAAAACCATTCGTGGACCTTACTGACTACCATAACTATTACCATTAAAGTTCTCAAACCATAAGTTAAAAGGTTCTAATATAGTTCTCTTTCCGAAAATGTATGGAGAAAACAAGAATTTGGAACGGTAATGGTTCTTAACAACCCATTATTTGTAAGGTCCAGTTCCAAAAAACCATAATACATAAGGTTGAAACTTTATCATTAAACGTTCGTGTAAAGTTCCATAACCATTTCAGTTAAAGTTTAGCAGGGATTATAAACAATTTTTAACCATTTTAGGTAAGGTCAATTTATGGTTCGCGTTTATGCTGGTAGGCATCTTTTAACTTTTTATGTAATTTTATTATGTGTTTTTGGGAAGAGTTCAACCGAAAACCAGCATAAAATTTAAACATGGAATTTATTTGTAGATTCCTGGAAAAGTAAGAGAATTTCATTTGGGTTTTTGAGTTGCCACCCTGAAATTGTAGATAAACAATTAATAATTCCGTTAGTCGACGAAAGTGCCTCGAAAGATCTTTTTCATGTTGTCACCCAGTTGAATCGATGTGAAGGTCCTTTCGTTAAGGTCCCTTTTAGCTGAGTCTCAATCAATTTTATTGCACGAACTCAAATGTGAGCTTAAATGTGTAGTAATCAATATGTAGTTATTTGCTGCTATACAATGAATACAATTACAATACAATTCAAGGTAAGCCTTTTCAGTACATTTTGTGAGAATTTATGTAATTTTGGTACCAGGTACCAGTGGTACTGTTTACAAGCACTTAGTCGTTTTTTCGAAAAAAAAAAATTCTAAAATTTCCGAATTTTAACTTGAAAATTGTCGAGGAACAGCGCGGTGAAAAAGATGTTGCTCGTGGACAATGCAGAAGTGTGGTTTACATCTCACTGCAGTCTGAAAAATTATCGAGAAAATCTACCCAAGAAAAAAACGACTAAGTCCACGTAAACAGTACCACTGAACTGTCATCAGATTGAGGTTAACCCCGACGGTGCAAAACCTAATACCGGATCGATAATCCTAATGTTAGAACCCGAATAGAAATTGTAATGTAGGAAGCATCAGCAGACATCTTCAGTACATTAAATTTTAACGTGTATTGCTGTACCCTTAATGTATTCAGACTTCAGTATATTCTATAACATAGGAAGGTATTTGTCAACGCCTGCGAATACAAACGCAATCGGAAGCTGCCGAAGATAAGTGATGACACCGCTACGTGTTTGGATTTGCGCTGTACCGTCCTCTCAGTGGTGTGGGTTCTTAAATGCATAGATGTTTGGTGTGCGTGTTTACTTCCAAGGCTACAGTTCAATATTGTCTCGTCACAATCCTTTTGGCGCTGTTATCTGTCTCTATAAATTCCAAAGAGTGAAGGAGGTCTGACACCATCCGAATTATTGCACATTTCAAGCTGAACATTAGGTCCTAAGCTCGGTCCTAAGTAACATTGACAGATTCTCTTCGTCTACTTTCTCTTGTTATCCCACGGCCATATAAATATATTCTCAGGTATTTTCGGCACACAGATCGATAAAAGCAGCTTTTATCTAGCATCTAATATGACAAATACAACACAGTTATGTGCACAAGTTATTAATGAAAGAGAAAGTCGACGAAGAGAATCGATCAATGTTACTTAGGACCTAATCCAATATTTAGCTTGATTTCACAACCAAGTTGGATGAAGAAGCGCGTTTTTTATCAATAAAAAGTGTGACAAAAATACACTTTTACGTAATTGTTTTAGTGTTTTCGGTGCACTTATTCCTTATGCTGCAAACATCAAGTGCTCTCAAGACCTCAAGACCATTAATTAGGTCAAATTTTGACCTAAATGTGCACTTTAATATAACACTTTTTAATTTTTGGAGCAGGCCAATTTTCGATGCAAGCAGCAATAATTTTTCATGTGTCCTGATATCTGAAAAATACCTGGCAACCCTGCCCGGATGACATCTGACAGCATCACTTTCTCCGCATCCATATGTATATATAGTGAAGTTGCTTCCGATGGAAAATTTAAAATCGTCTTCTGATTTGAAATTGTGATGAAGTTCGTGAAATTCACAGCAGCATGTTACTGAGCGCGTTCAGCTTAATGTTCACTACCGGTGGTAGGTATTAAAATTTTCTATCGCAATTTTATGTTGCTTATATTATGTTATAGATGTCAACAATATGTACAGATAAACATAAAATTTGAGGAATATGGAAGAAGTTCTTGATAATGTTGACCGCAGAGGAGAAATTTATCAACAGAGTGATGAAGTAATCGTGAACGATGCCGAAGGATCAGTGGTGTACAACTGCAATTCCTGTGATATGACGTTCTCCTCGGTTGACCAACATATTCGCAATTTTCATCCGAACGAAGGAATAGTAGTGGAAGTGGAAGAGGAAATTGCAGACAATTATGGCTTCGAAGAAGTTATTGAGGATATAGTTGATGAATCGTCCTGCTTCAAGTGCCAAATTTGCTGCACTGTATTGAAAAGTGGGAGAAGCTTGAAGTTGCATATGAGAGTACATGATGCTAAAGCAGATAAAGGCGATGCAAACAATGAGCTGAAGCACCTTTGTAAGCTTTGCAACCGAGGCTTCAGCAATGACGAGCATCTCAAGTTGCATCTCCTCGCTCACGACAAGACTCAGCTGGTTGATTTCGATAGTGGAGAGAAGGAGGGGTCCGGTTATCCGTGCAACTATTGTGGGAAGCGGTTCAAACGGCCATTCGAGAAGGTTAAACATGAACGTATACATACCGGGGAACGACCGTTTTCGTGTAATACATGTGGAAAGCGGTTCCGGGTGTCCAGCTGCCTGACACTTCATTTGAGGACGCATGACGATTCGAGACCATTTGTGTGCCCGCATTGTAAAAAGAGGTAACGAACGATGTGAGTGTAAACATTTAAGTCAATTGGTGTGTCATCAATAACGGTGTACACAGGCTATAAATAATGTTTATGCTGTCAGTTGTGTAACAATTGTAAGGTTCCTTATACATCGATAGAACTGTTTTTTAATATTGATGTGTATATATAGCAAAGATTTTGTCGCTTCACTTGTGTCTTTTGAAAGGAGAGCAGGTTAGCACTCCCCTTGACAAGGATGGAACACACTTTGGGCCGGGAAGGCACAAAATTCTCGGCCCTAGTCGATTTTTTTTATTCACACCACCCTTATGTGTAGCGAAGGTTTTTTTTTGCTATTTTCTTCATCGTGTTATTCAAATGGGAGCTGGGTATCTGGGTTCCCTGTCATGCACTTAACAGTTTAGAATCAGAAAAAAAAAACTTTTTCTCGTTCCAGGTTTAAAGTGCAATCGGCATACAATCATCATCTGAAAATTCATTCGCACGAACGCAACTATCATTGTTCGTATTGTTCGAAGTCTTTCAAAACCTCTGTCCAACTGAATGGGCACCAGAAGAGCCATACCAAACCGTTTTCCTGTTCGGAGTGTAACCGCCCTTTCGGATCACTGTACTCGGTTAGGAAGCATATGCAGGTCCACCAGCAGGCGGACAATAAGCTGAGCTACAGTTGTGATATCTGCGGTGCCAACTATGCGCGGGTTTTTGCGCTGCGCGACCATCGCAAGCAGCAACATGGGATCGATGGCGACGAGCAGTGTGCAGAACACGATGCCGATGATCCCGGAGAGGATGGTGAAACAATTGAATCGGAAATCGTCGTGGAGGAGTCTTTTGAACTCAAGGTGGAATCCGAAGAAACCATAGAAGAGGATTTGCTATTTTGAATAGTTTATTTCTGTTGTTTTCTATAACGGCTGATATAGGTACAATCGATCAATACTTAATAATTGTTTGCTGTTGTTCTATGGGCGTTTATTTCATTGCAATATTATTTCACTAGATAATGTTCTTACCTTTTTATGTATACACGATTATGAATTCAATAAAAACATTACTTATTACGCGGTAATAGCTATTGAATTGGTTTACCTTTTATTCGAGATAATGGGACTTCCATTTGTTTACAGCAATTATTAACAATAATAATTTGATTTTGTTCACAATAGTGTAGCTTATTGTACCACATTCACAAACTTTTTTCAATGAATCACAAAGTAACCATTAAAGAATCCATAACTTTTATTTTACAATCGAAACTCATGCAACGGAGGTGGTGAGCATTTTTGCAATATTCGAACATTCAGTTTTCTGCTGATCCAACCCATAATTTAAATAAATACACGAAATATACACATAAAGCTGCTCCCTCAATGATACACATAACATGATTGCAGTGAATGCCGTTTAAATACCTAATAAAACCTACGTGCAAATAAATTGTGGAATGTGTTAAGTTTTGCCTAGTAAATATCTTCTTTGATATTATATTCAATGCAACATGCACAGTCAAGTGGTTACCGCTTAAATATGTCTCTTTTCTCCGGATAAGCTTTACCTCATAATAACAGTTCTCAGTTTCTATGGATAGCTACTGGATGATTAAATACTATGACAGTTATTAGTAAAACTCTCTCAGATAGTCTATAGGAGATTATTGACTGATTGAATCATAAACTTTGGATGATCTGTTCCATTTACGGATTATTGGGTCGAGCTGGAAGTGGAGGTGCTCCGCCACTTCTGTTTGGTATTGGTGGAGGGACACCCCGACGAACGGGTAAAGGAGGTGGATTAGTCTTAGGAGGAGCTTGCGATGACATTCCTACGCCAGCTGGAATGGATGATTGTGGCGATCCTGCACCTGAGCTTCCCCCGGAGGTACCCGGAGGAGATGATTTGTTGGATTTGTTGTTGCTGACCACGTCCAGATCGTACACATCACAGCGCGGTGGTGGCGGTGGGGGGCCTCGTGGTTCTGGTATGGCCTGAAAGGAAAACTCCTTTGCATAAGTTCACAAAAACGAAACCAAAAAAACGAAACACTTACAATGTCGTCATTGATTTCTTCATAGATTGCGCCTGTATCCTGGAGAGGTGTGTTGGCCAGTGATGATCCATGCGCTGGAGAACCAAGTATTGGACTAGAGCTAGCATATTCCTCAATGGGAGGAGTGGTTTTCGTTGTTGCCGACGAGGGCAGCAGTGGCGAAGGTGGAACTGCCGGTTTTTGATGCAATTTGGATGCCATAAGCACTTCAGCACCCAAACTGATGACACCTGCTTTCGGATGATGATGATGATGATGATGATGGTGTTGAGGAGGTTGTTGTGGCTGATGTTTTGGCGAAGCTTGCGGTGACTTGGGAAGAGGTGGTCTATTGGGTGGGGCTGGTCTGAGAGGAGCTTGCTGTTGAGCGGGAGGGCTTTTTGGTCGTGAAGGAACCTCCGGAATGCCAAGACTGTTGTAATCGCCTATTTGACTGTCACAGAAAGTGACCGTATTGGGTGTGCAAAGGAAAATCTCCTGTTCAACTCGCTGGATCCAGTTTTCGGTTTTTAATTTGATTGTTAGGTTTACTCCACAAACTTGAACAAACTGCTTCTGGGCGGCAGTCAAGGCCGATTGTCCATCGCGGAAAGTAACCCACATGGTATCGCCGACGAATCGCACCAAAGTAACTTCTCCGATCTGAGTCAATTCCTGGATCAGCGCACTCATCAAGTTCTCGTCGTAAATACTGCCCTCATCCTCATCGCCGGAATCTGCACAACTGGAAACATTCGTTGCTTGTATTAAAATAGTTCCGTCCGGTGGTCCCAAATCTCTGATCACATCGTTAAACACTTGCGATCTTCGTTGCTGATCGATCTTGCAAATTTCTATATCAATTATCGCAATCACCGGCCGATGATCGCTTTGTTTCAGTTCTGCTCGTCCGTAGTGCACCAGATTGCCAGGGTTCCAGTTTGGATGTTTATCTGCATCCGGACTCTGCTTGCGACGTCGCCACAATACTCGATCCGTCCAAGCAGGAGCACGACACTTTTCGCTCGTATCGTAATCGTCGCTGAACAAATCGTATTTATAAGTCGGAGGGAACGAGATTTCTCCCTCCAAGAAATCGTTAAATACGCTTCCAGTATTCTGCTGGATTCTCAACTGGTCGTACTGCAATACCCCACCTATATCGTTTTGCTTTAGCAAATCCTTCAGCTCATCTTTTTCCATATCGATACGGTAGTTGAAGTCACCGCACCAGAAGATGTAATCGTGCGACTTCAACGATCGGCCCATTGGAAATGCAATCTTTCGAGTGATTTCAGCATAATCCGCATTCCGTTCGGCGACCTGTGATTGACCAGCAGCAAAGTGAGCACATACAAAGCAAATCGATGTTCCGTGGATGACAAAACGAATCGCTGCAGCGCCTTTATTGCCGGTGGCTCCTCCCAAGCCCGTTTTCACACAATCAATGGCCACGTCGCGAATGTATTGTGCATGCTGAGGTCGAATGTAGATGTACAAGCAAACACCTACCAACTGCTGGTAGGTTAGCAAGACATACTCTTCATCTCTGCTGATAACCTTCTGCAACTCTTCAGCCCATGCTTTTGCGTTGTCAGAACTGAAAATGTTAAGACCATTTTGTAACCCTAATGCCAAACATTGTCAACTTTGAATAGCACTCACCTCGCCGCTACAATATTAGAAGCATTCAGATCCACGATTTCCTGGAATCCAATAGCGAATACATCTATTGGTGGTTCATTGCTATCTTCTGGATGGGTAACATCGACCAAGGCTACAAAAAAAAAATCATCATAAATTATCGTCTTTATAACTTATAATAGATAAGACTGACATTTTGATCGTGCCAGACGATGGCAGTCCAGCAACCAGTCGGCAAGCGATACATCCTTGTAGGCAACGCTTCGGAAGTGCTTCCCACCGTTAACGTTGTACGTTCCGCATGCAATGCGTAGATCGAGCGGACTGACAAACTCCTCGTAACGGCGACACATTTCTCGTAGCACTGGTGTCGGTGCTGCAAATTAAATCATGTTTAATAAATTTTCAGCAGAAAACCGTTAAAAAAACATACCATGCAGCATATTCGAGGGAAGCAGAATCCTTGCACGGTCAGCCAATTCTGAACTGAGAGTCGACCCGACGAGCAAAACATCGATGGCTTCCTGTTTTGAGCTGTCCAGCAGATTGTTCTGGATTGTCCTAGCTGCCGATCGTGCGCCATCCATCAACTTGGATCCACCCTGTATGGCACCGGTTCCGGCGTAAATTTTGCTTACCTCGTTGCCATTATTGATCCACATCTGACGGAAAATTTCCTCAAACCGAGAAGCAATCTGCTGCTTCTTGTCTGACAGGGCAGACATCTGGGAAATTTGCTCGTTCAACATCTCCAACCCAATGTAGGTCTGAACGCAGTTGGTTCGATCCAAACAGTCCAGACAGTTCGTTCGAAGGGTACCTTTTTGCTCACGGAACACACTATCTCCGACGGCATGAAACAGGCCAAAGTCCGAGCACATGGCGTCGATTTTGGCCTTCAGCTTGGACAGCGCGCTAGTATTGCCACCTCTGCATTCCTGGTGATAGTCAAAAACTATATGCGGCACGTCCGTGTGGTTGGATTCCTTGTGATGTCGCTGAAACTCGTTGCTCAGCATAGCTTCACCTTCCTTGCTGCCAATCAAACTTGTTCCGAGAAGGTTTATTATTGCTTGCTTACCGTAGCGGGATTTCATGGTAGTCATATGACGATCAAATGCTGATCTAGATGCCTCAAAACCACGCGATAGCTTCACCTTATGGGACCCCACCTGAACGCCAGGCTGTTCCCAAAACAGTGGAACACTTCCCCTGGACTGGATGTACGACGATATCTCATTGTCAAGGTAAATACATTGCTCCGTTTCCACGAAATTTGCCACACAGCCTTCGTCATTTGTTCCGCGTACGTTAAATCGTGTTCCTGCACGCTCGCAGCTCAATCTTGATATAATAGAAGCTCTGGCTTGCTTACTTCCGGCGTAAACCGTTCTGATCTCAACCGATCCACACATTGCCTTCAGCAGCCAAAAATCGCACTCTACCCCGAATCGTAACATGTGAATAAACAGCATCCGATTCCAGAAGAACCGGTTATCCGTTTCAGTGGTCCTTCGACGTCTTTGCGCCGATAGTGTAATATCGAAATTGAATCCTCCGCTTGCCAACTGCATATTGTTACTGGCCGAAACGTTCGTGAACGAAAAGTAGAATGTGCCCGAGTTCAGGACCTTTCGGATTTCCGAGATTCGATCTTCGTTCGTCGGTTGGTACTGCAGCGAAACGAACTGGGTCTGGGTGATGCGGAATACTTCATTGTCCAGTATTTTGCCGACCGAGAAGCAACCGGTGACCATCACCAGATAGAGTAGAGAGCTGTCGCCAGCATTCAGCTGGAGCACACCGAGGCATCCGTATGCATCTAGAACCTTGGTATATTGCTTGCGAACGATTTCCGTTTCCTGATCAGCTGTTTAGGTGAAGGAAAGATAAATATGATTTACTTTATTTTTAATCTGTTGAACCATTACATCGAGAAAACCACTGTGATAGGTATAGTAGATTTGGCACGGAGTAAGGGCATCATGGTTGGTACGGTGCTCTTTGTATGGAAATAGAATGTTGAAACTATGGTATGGTTTTCAAACCGCCATTCCATAGCAAAACGATATAGTGGTTCTCAGAATTTCGTAATAATTGGTAGTTTTGTTTCTTATCGCAAAATATTAAACCTGTGGTTTTTTCATTAGGGTGACCATTTCCATGTTAGGGTGGTCCAAAAAATCGGTTTTTATAAAAATGACTTAAAAAAAATCATAACTTCTGAACCACTGAGCCAATTTCAAAGATCAAAATATCAAATGAAAGGTACTTTTTAGGAAAAATAGGGGAAATGGCCCATCGCTAAAAATATGCTATTTATCAATTTTATCTAGATGAACGCGTCATTGTGACGGTACTAATGGATATTTTTGGTCGCTATTGAAAATTTAGTCGATTGCTGAATTTATGTATGGGCCCAAATTAGGGGCATTTAGACCGACATTACATCAGTGTCCCCTATAATGATAGTTATAAATTAGGATTTTGTATTGAAAAACATTGATTGTGTTTTTTTATGGTTTTCATGGTGTGTAGACAGAGGGAGCAATATGTTTTTATAATTTTCCTTGAAAATTTAGGCTTTTCCACACAACATATCAAAAGATTAGCGATGTGCTTTTTTTCGTTCTTGAGTCATACACGGTAAGAAAAAAGTACTCTACGACCAGTTCACTTGTACCCAGGCATGGAAAATCATTTGCATTCATTTACATTCATGGGCCTCTAACTTTTTTCATCAACAGCATTCCGCAAAATGATACATAGAGATTTTGTAGGTTTGGTGTTTAAAAGTTCTATATATCATTTTGCGGAATGCTGTTCAAGATAAAAGTTAGAGGCAAATGAATGTAAATGAATGCACGAAATGAATGCAAATGATTTTCCATGCCTGCTTGCTTGTACCTACTTTTGACTAGTTTGTCTCCTTTTCTCCTTCTAATGATGTCAAACACAGAGGAGCAAAACCACCCAACAGGGGCAGTAAAGTGTGGGAACCCAACGTTAAGTATAATCACAGACAAACAGACGTAACTCTTCATTGTGTATCTTCGTTCATGCATTTAACGGTTGATTTGAATATTATCAGTTCCGCGAACTACTCGCCGCAGCGCTGGCATCGGATCACTTTGACGTTCCTATATATTCTATAGAACTTTTATGCAATATTGTTTACGAGTTAGCGAGCAAGCTTGTTTTCCGCGAGAAGCCAGAGAGATGTCGTTACTGAGGTTATATGTTTTGAAATACTATGTTTTCAAGAACAAGTTTTTCAAAGAGTTACGTCTGTTTGTCTGTGGTATAATCATATTTACCTACTTTTGGGTACAACTAACTTACTTTTACGTTGAAAGCTAGTGGAAAATTTCATACGAATTGCACACAAGGAAATGAAAACTACTTTAACCCGCTTTACCTACTTTTGGGTTCTTGCACTATAGTGCCGAGATGAGTGAAAAGAACTTATTTTTGGGTACTTTTTTCTTACCGTGTACAGCTATCCCCCGAAGAACGCGTTACCCACTGAGTTGCACCCACCGCTTTTTCTCGGCGGGGTTTCAACCAGTTGGTTTGATTTTTTGCATGTGAGTAGTGCCAATGGAGAACTAGTCACTCGTAGAAAATCAGAGCGCTTGATTGAAAACCCATCGAAACAAAGTGGTGGGTAGAACTCAGTGGGTAACGCGTTCTTCGGGGGAAAGCTGTATATTTTTTAAGCTATCGAGTTTTGGAGTTTCGCTCAATACTCCTAGACAACCATGCGTCTCCGTTGATTTATAGTTACTATAACATATAGTCACGCCGCATGGTAGTCTAGTCACATAGGAGTATTGAGCGACAACCCAAAACTTGATAACTTCAAAAAAATATAACTCAAAAAAAAAACAAAAAAAAAAACGCATAGCCGATTTTTTATATGTTTCGTGTTGCCGAAATTTTCAAGGAAAAATATAAAAACATATTAGGCTCTCTGTCTACAAACCATGAAAACCATAAAAAAAACAATGTTTTTCGATAAAAACTTTTTTTTTGCATCATTATATTTTTCAATTACCTTTCATTTGATATGTTGATCTTTAGAATCGGCTCAGTAGTTCAAAAGTTATGATTTTTGAAAACAAAAGTAGAAGAGTCTGTGCCTAGGGGCACGAACGGAAGCTTGACGTAGGACCGCTAGTGGACGGAACAAATATGTTGATCATTTCAAGCGTAACTATTCAAATCGACGTATCTGATTTTGTAAACAATGACTTCAATCGACGATTTGTGGCAACTGCTAGCTCACTCACAGAAACTAATAACACCAGCTGATGGTGTTTGTTTGCGTGGGTGAGTTAGCAGTTAAGACAAATCGTCGGTTGAAGCGATTGTTTACAAAAGCAGATACGTCGATTTGAATAGTTACACTTGAATTTAGTTCTTAACTGAAAAAGGCCGGTTTTTTTTTCAAATGGTGGCCCTACCAGTGCAAGTCGATGCCGACCGGATGCCTAGTTATGCTTCCTATTGTGGGAAGCCTTTCCCGAGGCCTTTCCTTCGGTCTATGTAGGTGCTTTCGTCGTCGTGGTCGTCTTCGCGTTCGTATTGGTGCGATGCGCAGCGATGCCAGGTAATTTTCAGAAAAATCTGGATCAGTCAAAATATAAAATCTAATAAAGTGACGTGTCAATCTCCCGTAAAAATCAGTCAGGATGATTATCTGGAATTTATTCAAAGTATACCAGAATGTTTGTGAATTCCATGTTCAAAAAATATATACTAAGCAAACTTGTTAGCATTGCTAAAATCATCCAAATGTTAAGAAAAGCATTGACACAGTGTTCCCAAAAAGTTTAAATATCCATTACGCAGCATTTCGAAATTAATTTAAAGTTGGAGACGAACCAGCCTCAGGCTGAATAATAAAGATAAATCAATCAATCAATTGATTTAAATCTTTGGTAAAATACTGCCGAAAATATTTTTAGGATTCTGAAGCAGCAAAGATTCAAGCAACTTTGATGGGATGATTTTTTTACTAGTCCTTACTATCTGATGCAGTACCAAAATATGTCTTAAAGATTTTATTAGTTCTAAATAATGCTAATATTACTCTGAGATTGATCAGACCTCCAATTTCATTCTTGACATCATTCAACTCACAACACTCGGTAGACCAGTAGGCAATTTTATTTCAAGCTAAAATTCTCCTGGCTGAAATGAGAATCAAAGCCTAACATCGTGGTACTCACGCACAGTCTACCTAAACTACGGGCTACTCCACATGACCATTACAAATAATTTTATGTCAAAGAATAATATTATTATATAACTAAAATGAAAGTCATGTTTGAAGTCTCAGGGCCTTTTTTTTAACTAGCTCGTTTATTTACTAGGCTCAGCCGTGTGTGACACTTTGCGTAATGTTTGATTTACATTTTAAATAGCAGTATTTCTAGGTTAGTATTGGGTACCAATTACTCGTGGCGGGCTCGAGGTTAATGGGTAACAATTTCGATTGGAAGGATCTAGGTAGGAAACTGGTTTCTGAAGCCTCCTTCAGATACTACTCTCGGACGGTTGACCAAATCCTGGCTGGGCAGCACAGGAACAGGAGGATAATAAAGGAGGGGATAGTCACATCAAACTCTAACATCAGACAAACAAAGGAATTCGTAGATCCCTTGCATGTAGGGAAGATCACGTGTTCCCAATACATCTCTTACTTCAGCGAGTAGTGGTTGGACATAAGTCTTGACATCACTCGAATGAATCCCCGACTTACATCCAGACCTTTGAACCACGCTCTCGAAGACACATTTGGAATAATGGAATGTAACCACCGCCCAAGAGAATTACTTGTCCAATCGTTTTGCCAACTTAAAAGAGAACTCAGACGTACTAATGGGAAAAATTCATCATGTGAAATTCTTCTATCATAAATCTCGCTTTGTTGGGCGCCCACCTTTGCGAGAGAGTCTGCCTTTTCATTGCCTGGGATTGAGCAATGTGAGGGGACCCATACAAAGGTAATCATATATGATCTTTCGACCAGCAAACTCATCTGCTCCCTTACCTTTGAAAGGAAATAAGATGAGTGCCTACCTTGTTTCATCGACCGAATAGCCTCAATCGAACTGAGACTACCCGAGAAGATGAAGTAATGGTCTTTGGGCATATCGGAAATCATCCCCAATGCGAAGTTGATTACTGCTAGCTCAGCAACATAAACGGAACAAGGTTCCGTGAAGTTTCCGAAAGGCGGTTGAGTATTCATTGAAGACGCCGAAGCCAGTGGATCCATCAATGCGTGACCCATCAGTGAAAAATCTTCTATTGCAATTGACTTGTTGATACTTTTCAGCAAAAATGTGGGGAATTGAGATAGGTCGAAGTTGATCTGGAACTCCTTGAATAGCCTGTTTCATGGAGAGATCAAAGTTAATGGGGGAACGGTAGTTAGTAAAGCATACACGAGAGGGGTTATAGCAAGGAAGGCTAATATCCGATGACGTATAATTAAGATAGGTTCGCACGAATCTAGACGGATGCTCAATTCAAGCATTTCTTCGAAGTTTTCAATAACAAGGTTGTTACTGACACTACATTTAATCAATATTCTTAATGAGAGCTCCCAGAAACGGTTCTGCAGGGGTTTTACGCCCGCTAGGACCTCTAGGCTCATATTGTGTGTTGAATGCATACAGCCAAGGGCAATACGTAAACAACGATATTGAATACGTTTCAATTTGATTAGGTGGCTTTTTCTTGCCGAGAGGAAGCAAAAAGAGCCATACTCAAGAACTGCAAGAATAGTCGTTTTATATAGCTTAATGAGGTCTTCGGGTGAGCACCCCACCATGTCCCGGAAATTGATAGTAGAAAGTT